CTTGGAAATCCTCTGCTGTGGCTTCCATATTGGCTTGTGTTTCTGTGGTAAGAGTCATCTGATCTTCTGTGGCCTTTGAGAAGATTGGCCTGTAGACTAAAGGATCTTCATCGTCCACTTCAAATTCTGAGACTGGTGTGGTGGCCAAGTATTCCAGATGCAAATCTTTATAGTTTCTTTGCCATACCCAGTCAACATCCAGGATTTGCTCACAGCAATAGTTGACTCGTAAACCCAAGCATCTCTTGATGATCTTTTCATTTTTCAGTTGTTGGTCCCATTCCAACAACTGCTCTGCTGAGTTCCCAACCTTCCAAGCTCTCCAATCATAATAGAGCTGCATGAATTGGCTCTCTGCATCATTAGTTTGAGCCTGTAGTGAAGGAGTTGGAGAACTTTGAACTTGGGGAATTTCTTCATCAAGTTGCTGAGGGCTCTGGTTGTGTGCAGAGTGTTCTTCAACTGGTTCTTTTCCCATCAACTCATCCGGATCTTAGATTTTGTAATGAGGGCGTTAATGATGAAGGCCCTCTATTGAGTGATGTCATCAGCATGTCCTCCACTGCCACATTCAAGGCATGCGATGACCACTTCCAGGACTAACTTGTAATCATTCTTCAAATCTGATTTCTTCGCTGGGCCAAAGGGGATTTGCCCAGAAATCCCAATAGTCTTCCAATCCAGATTCTTGGCCGGAAGTCTCCCAATTTCACTTCCAGTATTGGGAAGATGAAGCTTCTCCTCCAATTTCTTCTGTGAAATTTTCACTTTGGCCCCTCCAACAGTGGACTTGATAATTTGAATCGTCCTCCATGGATTCTTCTTTGACTGGACAGTCTTGACCTTTCCGTTCTTGTAGAATTCAAGAACTTCGTCCTCATACTTGGATCGAATCTCCATATGAAGGAATTCAGAGAGTTCTTGAGCAGCAATCATCTCTAGATAGGATTGATAGAACGTTGGTGAAGAGCACATGCCTTCTACCTTCTGGAAATGGACATTTGCGCCAACAATCTTCATTTTCTCTGAATTTTGGGTAAAAAATATGAGGAAATTAGGGTTATTGAGAATTCTTGTGAGGAAGACGACGAAAATTTTGAGTGGGCAGTTGAGATTTGAATAGTGGCGATTGGATTTTTAATTTTGGGCGATATATGTGGCTGGTGGCAATTGGGTTTTTAACTATTCTCAAGGCAACGTGCCTATCCATTATTTCGACATACGTGGAAAGTGGACTGCAACGTGTACCGCACTCAGTCTAATTGAATTAGACCACTATTGTGAAGCAAATCGGAAAACTTGGCTTCATTTAGTTGTTTTGTGAAGATATCCGCCAATTGTTCTTCAATTGAGATATACTCAATTTTGATATCTTTCTTTTCCACATGATCTCTGATGAAGTGATGCTTGACATCAATGTGCTTAGTGCGAAAATGATGCACTGGATTTTGTGAGATGGCTATAGCACTTTGATTGTCACAGAAGATTGTCACTTCCTTTGTTTTGACTCCATAGTCCAGTAGTTGTTGCTTTAGCCACAAGATCTGAGCACAACAACTACCAGCAGCAATGTACTCTGCTTCTTCTGTTGATGTAGAGATGGAGTTTTGTTTCTTACTGAACCAAGAAACAAGATTTCCTCCAATGAATTGACAAGTACCAGATGTACTTTTCCGGTCAACTTTGCATCCGGCAAAGTCAGAATCTGAGTATCCCACTAACTCAAATGAATTGCTCTTACCATACCACAAACCCATGTTCTGAGTTCCTTTGAGGTATCTGAGAATCCTTTTAGCTGCTATCAGATGGCTTTCCTTTGGCTTTGACTGGAATCTGGCACAAACACCTACCACATATGAGATATCCAGACGACTTGCAGTAAGGTAGAGTAGAGATCCAACTATTCCTCTGTAGAGAGTTTGATCAACATCCTTTCCATCTACATCCATATCAAGCTTGGTGGATGTACTCATGGGGATAGAAACGGATGACTTCTGATCAAGTTTGAATTTCTTGATAAGATCCCTTGTGTACTTGGCTTGGATGATGAGAGTTCCTTCACTTCTTTGCTTGATTTGAAGACCAAGGAAGTAGTTGAGTTCCCCCATCATGCTCATCTCAAATTTTCCTTGCATGAGGGTGGAGAACTTGGTGCAAAGAGCTTCCTTAGTTGAACCAAATATGATGTCGTCCACATAGATTTGGACTAATAAGAGATCTTCTCCATCTTGAAGTTTGAATAAGGTCTTGTCAATGACTCCTTTGATGAATCCATTGTTTATGAGAAATTGAGACAATGTGTCATACCAAGCTCTTGGTGCTTATTTGAGTCCATATAGCACCTTTTTGAGTCTGTACACTTGATCTCCTTTAGTGTGTAGCTTAAATCCTGGAGGTTGTTCCACATAAACTTCTTCCTCTAGGTTTCTGTTGAGAAATGCGCTTTTGACATCCATTTGATAGACTTTGAAGTCCTTATGAGCAGCAAAGGCTAGAAACAGCCTTATAGCTTCAAGTCTAGCAACTGGAGCGAAGGTTTCATCAAAATCTATACCTTTTTCTTGACAATAACCTTTTGCAACCAACCGGGCTTTGTTTCTGACAACAACGCCGTTTTCATCCATCTTGTTCCGGAAGACCCACCTTGTCCCAATGACATGTTGATGAGTAGGTCTGGAAACAAGTTTCCAGACGTCATTTTTAATAAATTGGTTGAGTTCTTCTTGCATTGCATTGATCCAATCAAAATCAGCTAGAGCTTCTTCAATATTCTTTGGTTCCACTTGTGAGATGAAACAAGCAAGCATGGCTTCTAGATTCTGTTGAGCACTCCTTGTGCGAATGCCTGATTGAATATCTCCAATAACTTGTTGAGGAGGATGATCCCTTAACCAACGAAGATTGTGTTGATTAGGATTGACTGGTTAATCTAGTTCAGCTTCTGGTTGAAGAACAGAATTTGTTGATGTTTCCGGATGGATTGGCACTGGGTCGCCATTTCCAGAATTGTCGCCATTTGAGTGATCCGGAATATTAGAAGGGTGGCCATGATTTCCGGTAGGCTCAGCACTGTCTGAATCCGGATTTCTTTGTGAAGTCTTCAGTGGTAGACTTCCGAATGAAATGAACTCCGTAGGCTTAATTCTCTCTCCTTCATTTACTTCTTCATCCTTGTCTGAGATATCCAGAACCTCATGATCATGCTTTGATGGTTTGTCAACCACATGTTTTTCATAAAAAATAACATGTATTGACTCTTCAGTGATCATGGTTCTTTTGTTGAAGACTTTGAACGCCTTGCTCACCATGGAATATCCTAGGAAGATGGCCTCATCTGATTTCTCATCAAAAGTGTTCAGATGATTCTTCCCGTTGTTTAACACAAAACACTTGCTCCCAAAAATATGAAAATATGATATATTAGGCTTTCTCCCATTCCACAGTTCATAGGGAGTTTTGTTGTGCCTTTTATAAATCATACTCCTATTTTGAGTATAGCAAGCTGTGTTTACAGCTTCAGCCCAGAACCTCTTTGGCAAGAAAGCTTCGGCTAGCATAGTTCTTACTGTTTCCTTCAAGGTTCTGTTCCTTCTTTCAGCAACACCATTCTGTTGAGGTGTCCTAGCTGCGGATGTCTGATGAAGAATTCCGTTTTCTTCACAGTAATGAATGATGATTTCATTCAGGAATTCTGTGCCTTTGTCAGATCTAATCTTCTGGATGGTCTGACTTGCTTGGTTTTGAATCAGCTTCATGCAGTTTGTGAGCTTCCCTTGAGTTTCCTTCTTGCTGTTGAGGAAGATTGTCCACGTGTATCTTGAGTAATCATCAACTACAACCAGGACATATTTCTTTCCACTTAGACTTATTGGTGTAACAGGGCCAAATAAGTCCATGTGAACAAGACTTAATATCCTTGTAGTTGAGGATGCCGGTTTTGCCTTGAAAGTGGACTTGACTTGCTTTCCTTTCTGGCAAGCATCACAAATGCTTTCCTTCTTGAATACAGCTTTGGGAAGGCCTTCTACTAACCCTTCTTTGGATAGCTTGTTGAGGGTTTTGAAGTTGAGATGACTCAACCTCTTATGCCAAAGCCATAGAAGGTTAGTGTCACCTTTGCTGATTAGGCATGCTTCCTTGACATCGTCCCACATCACTTCATAGATGTTTTTGATTCTCTTCCCAGTGAGAATGACTTCATTTGTGGAGATGTTCTTGAGGGATGCCATGTCCTTGCAGAATTCTAAGGAGTAACCTTTATCACAAAACTGACTTATGCTTAGAAGGTTATAATTGAGACCTTCCACATAAGATACAGCTTGGATGGTTAGTCCTTTGTACACCAGATTTCCTAGCCCTTGTGTAAGGCCAAAATCATTGCTTCACCCAAAGGTAACTCTTGGACCATTATAGGGGATTAGATTGATCAAAAGGCTCGCATCACCTGTCATGTGTCTTGAACAGCCACTGTCTAAGTACGAGACACCTGGGTACTTAGTGGCTTCCTGCATTAGGAGGAGGAAGATTTTGGTACCCAATTAAGTTTGGGTCCGGAATAGTTAATGGTGTGTGTCCCTACATCAAGTTTGAAGTTGCAGGGAATTTTCCTTGCAGCTCTAAACTTGTTGGGATTGTAATCATAGTTGTAGGCATAAAACTTCCTACGTGCTGGTGGTGCAATTTCCTGTTTCCTCCTAGCAAACCTAAGTTGATAAGACCTATAGTTTTGTCTAGGTTGTGCATAGTGTGGTCTGTGTCGGTTGTAAGCATACTTAGGTGGAACAAATAGTTTCTAGGGTGGAGGATGACTATATCTTGGCATAGTTCTCCACTCAGAATTTCTCGGAAAACTCCTATCTACCCCATAATGAGTATAGCCTCGTGTATAGTGAGGGTTAGAAGGTTTTCTTCTGAAATTATTTCCTCTTTGAGGTGTGTCCAGCTTCCTATAGTTCTTAAGAGGGACTACCTCTTTGGGAACTTCTGTGGGTTTCTCCTTTTCCTTACCTTTCTGCTTATTGGGTTTGGCAGTAGGTTTAAGAGGGATAAAAGTTGTTCTCCCTTTCCTTTTGGAACTAGAGGGGTCAAACCCAAGTCCTTCACGACCCTTATGTTTGGTCGTTTCAAGAAGCTTATTCACTGCTTCTTTGGACTTAAGTATCCCTAGCTACTTGTTGAGGGATTCCACCTTTTCAGAAAGAGATTCATTCTCAGCCTTGAGTTGAGTGATCTCATTTAGTTGACTTTTCCGACCTTCAGTCAACTTGAGATTCTCTTCACTCAATAGCTTGTTCTCCTCTGTTAAGGATGAGTGTTTGAGATTTATTTCCTCAAAATCTTCCATCATCTTTTTGAATTGGTCAAAAAGATTTTCAGAAGTTGGTATGCTTTCATAAGAAGATGAGCAGGAGGTTTGTGAAGTTAGCTCTTGTTCAGCATCATCTTTGGCCATTAGGCAGAGAGTGTCATCTTCTGACATGGTCCACCTATCCTCATGGTTGGACTTCTCAGCTCTGCACTCCGTGCAGACAAGGGCTTCTTCATCCGAGCTTGAGCTGGATGACTCGTCACTTTCAGCTACTACCATTGCCTTCTTCTTCTTCTCGTTTCTTTCTCTTTCTCCGTACTTTTCCACTTTTGGGTACGGGCATGTTAGGCTTCCTGCAATTATAACATAAATAAGATTCAGGAGGGGAGTCACCTACCTGTGGCTTTCCCTTGGATGGCCTTCTGACTGAGTCAGCTTTCTTGAAGAACTTCTTGAACTTCCGGAATTGCTTGACCATCATGGCAAATTCCTCATCGTAGTTCTTCATTCTTGAACTTGATGGGACTTTTGGGGTTGTTATCAGTGCCGTGGGAAATGGAGTGACTTGTTCTTCCTTCTTATTCTTCAGCTCATGCTCATATGTTCTGAGCTCATCAAGGAGACCTTGGACAGTGTAGTTCTCCAGGTTTCTTCCTTCTTCCATGGCTGTGGCTTTGGTGTACCACTCAGTTGGAAGAGATCTCAGTAACCTTACATTCTTTTCTTTGGGAGAAAGAACGTGGTTAAGTGATGCAAGATCATTTAAGATTTTGTGGAATCTTTCATCCAGCATATCAAATGATTCTCCGGGAAGCATTTTAAAGCTTTTGAATTTCTCGAGCAGAACCTCTATCTTCTGCTTTCTCAGGTCCTCTAATCCCTCGCACAGCTTCCCAAGACCTTGCCATATCTCCATGGCAGTCTTGAGATGCTTGATCTTGGAGAAGGTGATGGGATCAAGTGTCTTGAAGATGGATGCTTTGGCGACGTTGTCCAGATTGTGCTTCTTGCAATCTCTATCATCCCATTTCTCCTTGGGCTTTGGAATGTACTGGACTACATCTGGATTGGTTGGATTCCTCTCAGGATTCTCCATTTGGATTTTTAACGGTCCATCTTCAAGCACCATCCACATGCAATCATGTAGAGCGTAGAGGTGTGCTTCCATCATGATCTTTCAATCATCATAACCTCGAAGAGAAAACTTGTGCAAATCATGATCCATATTGTTCACCATTATAATAAAAATAAAAATAATAATAAAAATCCTGATAATAATAGTAATAATAAATATAATAATAATAATAATAATATTAGTAATAATAATAGTAATTATAATAATATTATTAATATTAATAGTAATAATAAAAAAAGTAATAATAATTATAATATTAATATTAATAGTAGTAATATTAATAATACTAATATATGTTGTAATAATATTAATAGTAATAATAATAGTAGTAGTAGTAGTAATAATAATAATAATAGTACGGAGTAATAATAATAATAATATTTTTGTTTTGATTTGATTTGATCTGGTTTGATTTGATCTGCCCCAATATGGTCTGATCTAGTTTGATCTGAGATTGGATCTGATCTAATTTTAATAAGAATAAGTATTTAACAGAAAAAATAAGTTGAGCAAAACGCTGCCTACGTACATTATAATATAAGTAATGAAATTTATCACAATGATCGGAAAGGGAGAAACATTGTAGAACGAATGGAGAATTACTTGTTACTCCGTATAAAATGAAATATTTTTCTCATTTTTTGTTTTGTAGAAGTTTCGATATAGTTTTGAACGGTGTAATATATATTTCTTACTCTATATTTTTATACTAATTTTAAATTACGGTAATTTTAGAAGTTATGAAAATTTACAAAAAAACTCTTTATCTTCTTTTATCCCCATAATTTTAGTTTGTTCAAAAATTCTGTCAAATTAAATGAGGAACTTGACAGAGATTATATTTTGATTAAATAGCATAAAAGGTCTCAGTTATAGATCATTTTACATATTTAGTCACTAAATATCAAATATTACTAATTTAGTCCCCAAAAATTATATCATTTTTCACCAATGGTCCTTTGTTAACATTTTTGTTAAGAACATGGATACAATTGTATATTCATACTTGTCTCTCTCCTCAATTAAGCTTCCTCCCTCCTCTCGTACTCTTTTCCAAACTCGTCGCCGAGTTTGAAGTTCTAAACTCAAAACTGAAATGATCATTCATCTTTCAATTATTAGTCTTCATGGTGGAACCTAAAATCAAAACCAATAAGCTTTACGGATGAGTTTTATCGGTTAGTCTCAAAAAATTGCAAAGAAAATTAACGTTAAAACTCATCCATGAAGGTTACTGGTTTCAAATTTAGGTTCCACCAATTAGACAAACAATTGAGAGAAGAGTGATGATTTTGGTTTTGGGTTCAAAGCTTCAAACTCAGCGACGGCTTTGGTAAAAAGAGTGCAAGGGGAGGGAGGAAGCTTAATTAAGAGAGAAAGGAGTGTGAATTTACAATTTTATCCACGTTCTTAATAGAAACGTTAACGAGGGACCATTCGTGGAAATGAATATAATAATTGAGGACTAAATTAGTAATATTTGATATGTAGGGACTAAATATGTAAAATAACCTATAATTGGGGACCTTTTATGGAATTTACTCTTATATTTTCATTTCATTTTTTAAATTCTGAAATCTAGATGCTTGGTATATTTCAATATACCCAAGAATATGAGTATGAAACTAGAATAAAAAGTTCTCGTTAAGTACTTAGACTATTCCTGTCCCTTTCATTATTACTCCTTTCTCTAAAAAAAAGTGTCCATTTTTTATTACAATGTTTAACTATAATTATTTTGAATTCATTTTCTTTGAAAATTGGCATGAAATTTAAAAATAAAAATTAAATAATACTCCCTTCGTCCCGTTTTAAATTCGCCTGTTTTGAGTTTGAGGCATATTTAAGGAAGAGAAAAAAAAGAGTTGATTTTCCGAAATTGGCATAATTTTTCAGGAGAGGTGACGATGAATGAGAAGATAAGGTGGGAAAGAATGACTTATTTTAGGGGTGGTTTAGTTATTTTATATTTAAAAGTTTACGATAACGAGAAACATACAACTTGTTTTGGGACGGAAAAAATGGAAAACAAGCAATTTAAAATGAGACGAAGGGAGTAGGAGAATAGTACATCTGTTTCCAAATGAAATTTTCATATTTTAATACGGGATTAGAAACCTCAATCTATCTCGTGCTACTACTGGAAAAATCTGCTTCAAGTCAAGATAAATTCAAGAACATGGGTAAAAGTGAGGAATACACTACAGATAAAGGCTATAAGTGGCTGCTAGGAAATACTCCCGAGCAAAGATGGGCTGAATTTGTGTGGAATCATTGGACTATCCCTAAACAATAGTTCAAAAAATAAAGTATGGAGAATTTTTTGTTGTCCAAAAATAAAGTACCCATGAATTATTATCCACAACAATTTTTTTTTTCCTCATAATTTTCAACGAAACATGTTTACTTTTCTTGATTTACGTTATAATCAAATTGAAAATTTAAATTTGGGACAGAAGAAATATACAATTGCACATTCTCATATCAAACTTTATACTCGGCATTATATAAAATTTTGAAGAAAATAGTAAATTGAAGTTAAATGGAGTATAATATTTCAAGTTCCATGCTGACTACAAATACAAAAAAGAAAAATTAACAAAAATCCATAGCTTCATTTAACAAGTTTAGAGTGTACTAGCAGCAAGTTATGACCAGTAGCATCCAATTTTATAGCCTGTAATGCATACTAGCGAATAAAAATAAATGAATGTCAAGGTCCCAGAATTAGAATACCACGACGGCAACCATTTAGAAATTAAATCCAGATGAATGACAAGTTGAGTCCTAAGGTTTTATTTTTTGTTATTTTGTTGTAATCCCATTCTCGAATTTGATGTGCTCTAGAAAATTCATCAATTTGATCCAGCTGAAGTGGGTGGTAAGAAAGTACAATTGGGGATTTATATTCGTTTTGGATGCTATGTTAGGTTTTGAATCCATCATTTTAATTATATCATGCTCCTGGATTTTGAATAGAAAGCTCAAGAACTATTCCATTGGAGGGACAGAAATGATAAAATATTTAGCTAAAAAGAACTGTGGTGAAAAAATATTGGCAATTTGATATGCATCTTTAAGTGACCTCAGCTTCCTATGTGTTGACCTAGTTCTTTTTTTCCCTTTGATGGTCATTTGTCAATCTGTATTGAAATTGCATGTGTGGCAGAATGCAATAATATTTTACTCCTGCTTGTAGGTATTTCATCTACTCAGAGATGGGTGTTTTTAATTACATTTGAAATTCAGACTCCATTTAAGTTGGTATTTGTTTTGGCATTCCTTTTCTGTTCTTTTTTTGTGCCAACTTCTTTAATGTTTTCCATTGATTTTTCAGTCTATTTATTAAAGAAAATGGGATTCTTAAGAATTTGAATGAGACAAATGAGTATCTAGATCCATCTTACATGGGAGCATAATAATTTGACATGAGTTAACAAGTAAATTCAGTGTAACTTGGCTGTAAGCTTGGGAAGTTCAATTCAAGTACTATCTCTCTTCTCTTCTGGCAATGACTGAAAGGCTAAGGCAGCTTGAGAAGGTGCTCCGCAGGAAAGAGAAATATAGCGCAGAGAAAACTTTGGATGATGGATTGAGCTTGGGATCTAAACGAAGGTGAGGGTGGAGATTAATTCGGATTGAGAGCAATTTCCCAGGATTGAGAGGTTCAGGTGCAATTCACTCGGATTGAGAGCGGATATTGACGGAAATGAGATGATAGGAACGGAAGGTCAGAAACTTCTAATTTGCTTAGATAACCCTGGGATTTAATTGCAAAAAAAGATTGATCTGATTATATTTAAATGAGATGGCACATGTGTACACATGACAATCAGTAATTGGTACGCAAATTATATGGTACATCCAGTTGTACCTTCCGTTAAGTACAACCTGGTATTTTTGTAAATTTTGTAAACTTTTTATCCAATGCCCAGAACATATATGATAACTATTATATATGACAATGAGTACCAGCAAATTTGAGAAGGAGTACCAGCACCTATGAGAATTATCATATTCTTATTCAATACAAGCATGAATAAACCTGGGTTTTAAATTCTCCATACTCAGAGAGTATAAATGAGTAGGAACGAATCGAATAGAGGAAGAGGTTGATGATAGTACTGAACTGTTTAATTGTGAAAAAATTGAACAATACTTTATTTCAGAATGAACATTTCTTTATTTGAGAATGAGTATTGTTTTTTTCAGAATGAACACAACGCTATTTATTATAATTATATTAGACAAATGTGTAAAAATGAGTACTTCTTTATTTTAAAATAAGTACTACCTTTGTCAGAAGGAGTACTACGTATTTCGAAATGAATGTTTATATTTGTACGAGAATGAATACTACTTTATTTCAGAATTAGTACTATCCGAATGTACCTATTGCTAGGTAGGTCCGGATGTACCACATACCAACTCCAAGTAGAGTGTGTTTTAAAACACCCTCTTCAGAAGGTGCACCCAAGGAATCGGCGTCACACATATTGGTATATCTAATATTGTGATGGCCCGTGTGTATTCCTACTAATACTTGGTATTAACACGGGATAATAGTCTAATACTAGAACAAGAGATTGGTGGTGAAAGCCAATAATGGTCTAATACTAGAACAAGAGATTGGTGATGAAAGCCATGAGATGTTGCAATTGCAACAGCTAAAACATAAACGCAATCCTCTCCATTTGTACCACTTACAGTGACGATAAAACGACTATTGGCATGCCCAGTGATAGCTTTGCTTGAACCGTAAAGCTACAGTGCGATGGTCATCCTTTGCATCCTGATCAACATCAAGAGAAACGGCAACTCAATGACACGCTAAAACGAAAATTCAATTCAACTGTCCTTTCTAAGGCAACTAATGAAATCTGAATACCAAAACGTATCGAAATCATCATTTGACAAGATGCCGCCAACTCAGAATTCACTGCGATCTGGTGAAATGGATTCCTGAATTTTGCTCTCAGAACCCATAGCTGAATCTTCTCTTCCCATATTGGTCTCTTCAGGCA